GGAGCAGGGGTACAGCACGTATATCAACAGGTATTTATGCAACGGAGAAGGCGCAGGGGTACAGTACGTATATGACCGTGTCGATGTAACTACATAAAGAAGAGAATCACGAACAGTGACATAAAATTACTGCATTAATAAAAGTATAAATTCCATTTTAATGTCTGTGTTTATTCGAATTTAGAGAACATAATCACGTGCGTTAAATACACGGATTATACGCTACCAGGCGTATTATTTTAACAACCCCGGCTATGTATTATATGTTTAATGCCTATTTCACCTTTCCGATTCAGGGCGTTCCGATGTTTGTATATCTCGGATCTGGTAACCATATATCACACAAGCTATACCCGGGATGGCTAGCTAAGTTATATATCGGTTCTGGTAACCATATATCATACAAGATAAACCCGGGATGGTTAGCTAAGTAATACATCGGATCTGGTAACCATATATCACACAAGATATACCCGGGATGGTTAACTAAGTTATACATCGGATCTGGTAACCATATATTATACAAGATATACCCGGGATGGTTAGCTTAGTTATACATCGGTTCTGGTAACCGTATATCACACAAGCTATACCCGGGATGGCTAGCTAAGTTATACATCGGTTCTGGTAACCCCATATCATACAAGATATACCCGGGATGGTTAACTAAGTTATACATCGGATCTGGTAAACATATATCATACAAGATATACCCGGGATGGTTAACTAAGTTATACATCGGATCTGGTAACCATATATTATACAAGATATACCCGGGATGGTTAACTAAGTTATACATCGGATCTGGTAAACATATATCATACAAGATATACCCGGGATGGTAAGCTAATTTATTCATCGTATCTGGTAACCATATATCATACAAGATATACCCGAGATGGTTAGTTAAGTTATGCATCGGATCTGTTAACCATATATCATACAAGATATACCCGGGATGGTTAACTAAGTTATACATCGGATCTGGTAACCATATATCATACAAGATATACCCGGGATGGTAATCTAAGTTATACATCGGATCTGGTAACCATATATTATACAAGATATACCCGGGATGGTATAAGCTATGTTATACATCGGATCTGGTAACCATATATCACACAAGCTATACCCGGGATGGCTAGCTAAGTTATATATCGGTTCTGGTAACCATATATCATATAAGATATACCCGGGATGGTTAGCTTAGTTATACATCGGTTCTGGTAACCCCATATCATACAAGATATACCCGGGATGGTTAGCTTAGTTATACATCGGTTCTGGTAACCATATATCACACAAGCTATACCCAGGATGGTTAGCTAAGCTATACATCGGATCTGTTAACCATATATCACACAAGCTATACCCGGGATGGTTAGCTAAGTTATCCATCGGATCTGGTAACCATATATCACACAAGCTATATCCTTCTATGGGTAAGACAAAACTGGGATAAATTTCTGGATAAAGTGACTGTTGTTCTGTTTAGTTTTGTTAACATCATACAAGTTGTAGATACAATAACCGAAACAGGGAGTCGTTAGCTGACTGTAATTTATACAGCGGAGAAGGCGCAGGGGTACAGCACGTTTATCAACAGTTATTTATGCAACGGAGAAGGCGCAGGGGTACAGTACGTCCATCAACAGTAATTTATACAACGGCGAAGGCGCAGGGGTACAGTACGTCTATCAACAGTAATTTATACAACGAAGAAGGCGCAGGGGTACAGTACGGATATCAACAGTAATTTATACAACGAAGAAGGCGCAGGGGTACAGTACGTATATCACCGTGTCGATGGAACTACATAAAGTAGAGAATCACGAACAGTGACATAAAATTACTGCATTAATAAAAGTATAAATTCCATTTTAATGTCTGTGTTTATTCGAATTTAGAGAACATAATCACGTGCGTTAAATACACGGATTATACGCTACCAGGCGTATTATTTTAACAACCCCGGCTATGGGATCTGGTAACCATATATCACACAAGCTATATCCTTCTATGGGTAAGACAAAACTGGGATAAATTTCTGGATAAAGTGACTGTTGTTCTGTTTAGTTTTGTTAACATCATACAATTTATAGATACAATAACCGAAACAGGGAGTCGTTAGCTGACTGTAATTTATACAGCGGAGAAGGCGCAGGGGTACAGCACGTTTATCAACAGTTATTTATACAACGGAGAAGGCGCAGTGGTACAGTACGTACATCAACAGTAATTTATTCAACGGAGATGGCGCAGGGGTACAGCACGTATATCAACAGGAATTTATACAACGGAGAAGGCGCAGTGGTACAGTACGTATATCAACAGTCATTTATACAACGGCGAAGGCGCAGGGGTACAGTACGTCCATCAACAGTAATTTATACAACGGATAAGGCGCAGGGGTACAGTACGTATGTCAACAGTAATTTATACAACGGATAAGGCGCAGGGGTACAGTACGTACATCAACAGCAATTTATACAACGGAGATGGCGCAGGGGTAAAGCACGTATATAAAAAGTAATTTATACAACGGAGATGGCGCAGTGGTACAGTACGTATATCAACAGTAATTTATACAACGGAGAAGGCGCAGTGGTACAGTACGTACATCAACAGTAATTTATACAACGGCGAAGGCGCAGGGGTACAGCACGTATATCAACAGTAATTTATACAACGGCGAAGGCGCAGGGGTACAGCACGTTTATCAACAGTTATTTATGCAACGGACAAGGCGCAGGGGTACAGTACGTACATCAACAGTAATTTATACAACGGATAAGGCGCAGGGGTACAGTACGTACATCAACAGTAATTTATACAACGGCGAAGGCGCAGGGGTACAGTACGTCCATCAACAGTAATTTATACAACGGATAAGGCGCAGGGGTACAGTACGTATATCAACAGGAATTTATACAACGGAGAAGGCGCAGTGGTACAGTACGTACATCAACAGTAATTTATTCAACGGAGATGGCGCAGGGGTACAGCACGTATATCAACAGGAATTTATACAACGGAGAAGGCGCAGGGGTACAGTACGTATATCACCGTGTCGATGTAACTACATAAAGTAGAGAATCACGAACAGTGACATAAAATTACTGCATTAATAAAAGTATAAATTACATTTTAATGTCTGTGTTTATTCGACTTTAGAGAACATAATCACGTGCGTTAAATACACGGATTATACGCTACCAGGCGGATTATTTTAACAACCCCGGCTATGTATTATATGTTTAATGCCTATTTCACCTTTCCGATTCAGGGCGTTCCGATGTTTGTATATCTACATTTACCTTTCATAAACAAAATCGCGCTTATGATTTGAGGTGTGATAATTTAAATGTCGAAGTTACGTTATGGCGCAAGACATCAAACACAACACTAACTACATTTTGCCTTAAATTTGTTTTAGTTATCGTGTCTTGAAATTGACGAATACAAATAATTGTTGTGATCATAGCTACAATATACATATCACATCTTATTGTTGTGATCATATTGTAGGGTTATATATATCACATCGTATTGTTGTGATTATAGTGTAGGGTTATACATATCACATTGTATTGCTGTGATCATAATGTAGGGTTATATATATAACAAATTATTGTTGTGATCATATTGTAGGGTTATATATATAACAAATTATTGTTGTGATCATATTGTAGGGTTATGCAGATCACATAGTATTGTTGTGATAATAGTGTAGGGTTATACATATCACATCGTATTGCTGTTATCATAGTGTAGGGTTATATATATAACAAATTATTGTTGTGATCATATTGTAGGGTTATATATATAACACATTATTGTTTTGATCATATTGTAGGGTTATATATATAACAAAATATTGTTGTGATAATAGTGTAGGGTTATGCAGATCACATAGTATTGTTGTGATCATAGTGTAGGGTTATATATATAACAAATTATTGTTGTGATCATATTGTAGGGTTATATATATAACAAATTATTGTTGTGATCATAGTGTAGGGTTATATAGATCACATATTATTGTTGTGATCATAATGTAGGGTTATGTAGATCACATTGTATTGTTGTGATCACAGTGTAGGGTTATACAGATCACATCGTATTGTTGTGATCATAGTGTAGGGTTATATAGATCACAAGTTATTGCTGTGATCATATTGTAGGGTTATACATATCACATATTATTGCTGTGATCATATTGTATGGTTATACAGATCACATATTATTGCTATGATCATATTGTAGGGTTATACCTATAACATAGTATTGCTATGATCATATTGTAGGGTTATGCAGATCACATATTATTGCTGTGATTATAGTGTAGTGTTATATATATCACATCGTATTGTTATGAATATAAGTATATATTTACGTGTCTATTGCTTTATTTGAAGACCTGTCCATACGTTTGTAATTATATTTTACATTGGTAAATATATGAACTGATCGGAGCACGCGAGGGGTTGGGCCCCCTTTAGATTGGGTGGGTAGTCGGATGAGAGGTTCAGGAGGAATCGTGTTTGCGCGTGTGTATGGATGGGTTTTGGGGTCGGAGAATCGGAGGGGGGGGGGGGGGGGGGGAAANAACTAGTAAGGTGACATTTAAACAGTTAGAAACAGGTTAAATACACAGTTTTCGAATAAATTTCATTGACAGGCAGGCCAGTTTCTTAAAGCACTCGATGCCTGTTTGGGTCTGACTCAGGTTTACTTATGATGTACATAGCTTCTGTTGGTATCTATCTGTGACCATTATTTCATATGAATACGTCCATGTTCATCTATAATCCTTTATCGAATTTCTGTAATCATTGATTGCTATGATCTTGTGCCTCTCAGTGTATGACTAAATCCATAATTGTATGACATATTTGTGTTTCCTGGTCTGTCATTAAGTCAGTTTAGGCGTGTTTATTTTGCACTATCAGTTTTGATTTACCTCTACTGATTAACTGTCAATACGAATGTCTTACCTGTGATCATCTGTCGCCTTTCCTCAGGTGTCGCCTCTACATCCTGGAACGTGATTTCCTTAATGAAATGTTGGAACTCGTTGAGTCTGGTCTGAAAGGTCCCCACCGTGTAGGGCCTGGCCAGACTCTCCCCCTGTTCTAGCTCCGACATTTCGGCCTGGTTCTCTAATCCAAATCGTAAAAAATCACACTGATTGACGATAAATCGCCAGCATTATTAGTATACACAGGCCTAATTCAACACATATACACACTATATACCTGTAATATTACTACCGGTGTCCTTATATCACTATGTACGGTGAAATCCCATTTTTGTATTCTAATCATATACAGGTAATACAAATCCGAAGAAATTTGCACATACTTTGTATTGATATAGTGTTCATTGCCACAACGAGACTTTTACACCTGCACACAGAAGTCTACAGGTATGTTATCCAGGTACGGCCATGTTGTCGTCGCCAGGTACATATCAACCCTACAAGTGGGTAATCCCGGGCACAAAGCGTCGTAGCAACTATTGTGTAAGAGGATCGGTCCACGACGGCGAGGGGAGAACAGGACTCGAGGTAGAGACGGACCGCTATTGATAAGGTACACACAATCGTACAGAAGGAGTGAGGTTTAAGCTTTAAAGGGTCAACATAATTGTCGCGGTAATCAGCCCATCATAAATATACCTTTAAGTGATCAATATGTGTTTATTGTATGGCTGCTACAGAGCGTCAACTTGTGAGTCCAATGACACAGAATCCGTGTCTTTTTATACTTTGATGTGATTATTTATATACTTATAAAGAGCCATCGACAACACGGTGAGTTAGAAGTGAACTGTCGGGAAGGTAAAGGAAGTATATCTTGACTTGTACGGCGATTGATATATATTATATATTTCAAAATTTAAAATTGAAATTACGTTAGTTGATTTGTCAATAATTAAAAACTTTATGACAGTTTAATTATATAGGTTTCGCTACAAGGATTAAAATTAACATGTTTAAAAGTTACAGTAAACAAAAAATGATATGTTCTTAAAAATCATTATATAGTTAATTAATAACAGCTTCACCTTGAAGTTGAACACATCTAATTTCTCCGATGATACATATACCAATTAGCATAATTTAGAAGTTATTTCAAGGATAAAACATCGTTTACATTGGTTTTAATCTAGAGAAACTTGCATGGATTTTTCTTTTGATTCTTTTTTAAAGATTTTTTATTTTTTATTTTAAATGTTTATGCAAATATATGACCATGCTTTTCATGTCAATTACTCAAATAAACATAGTCTTACACTAAGTTATGCCATTTTTAGATTTTCAGTTTCCAACTCCTGACTGTAGCATGACAGATAATCGATATTAATTATAATTATGTCTGAATGGTTTTAATTACCAGTGTAGCAAACATGATCGCATATACTGTTTAATTTCCTTCATACTAAGTATTACTTATTAAACAACACCTTTGTGTTCAAAACTTCATTTACTTAATCCGTGAATACATATCTTACAGAAGTTATATATGATGTTTTGTGCAAGTTTTATGGCATCTAATGATATTTTTATGTTCGAAGTTAACACCGTATATGCAAATCTGATCATTAATGACGGGGAATTAAAACCCACTCTAAATTTATTCAGTCAAAAAATATTTAAGTGTGTTATAACTTTACATGATCAAAATGTAAAAAAGTAGATTTCAATTATAAAACAAATTGTCATCAATCCCACTTTTAAATTTCTTGGGGCTTAAGCATTTAACTGGAACTAAGTTAGGGTAGGCGCTATCAACGTATGACACCCTTGGTTAATGAAATGCGTGATTTTCAGGCGTGGATCACAAAAAAGCATAAAAGGGTAAATTCCAAACAAAGCCGATATTGGAACTAATAAATAAAAATAAATATACAACATTTGATATAGCGCCCTATATACAATTGTATACAGTCAATACAATTAGCATATATATATTAATTAATCAATACAAAATTGAGGAATTCGCAGGAGCTGCCTTATCAGGCGCTAACTACTAGTCCTATCCCACCTGGCCCATATCTCCCTATATTTTTATGCCTGTGTATGTGTGCTGGAGATGTATTGTGTTCTGTTTGTAGTGGGACCGTGCTTCCAACGGTATCATTTATAGTGCCACCTGACTTGAATGCTTCAGCACAGACACCGCAACACCCACCCCAGACCATTTTATACTCAACCTTGGTTGTTGGAGTTGTGTGGGCAGGAGAAAAAAACTTTCTCTAATAATCCATGCGTACGGCGACTTCGGGGATCGAACCCCGGCCGCCTGCTTGGAAGGCTGGAGTGTTAACCACTCGACCAATCCGCCCATAATAGTCGATTTAACCTGGATTACTTATGAACAGAGGAAACATTTACATGAAGACTAGTGAAAACGTATAAGGGGAACTAGAAACCAGACATCCCGGAAGGGTATGCGTCTACTTCTTCATCGACAACACCGGCCATGTAGATACCACTTAAATCCGAATGATGTCACGTCGCTATCATGGGGACTATTAGTGATGACGAACCAACAAGGCACACTAAAGAACATAACATAAAACATCGACCTTTATATTTAATAAGGAAACATATTTCTTTCCCAATGAGACCATGATAGAGACCATAGCACTTATCTCGAAACGTTTTATCGAAGTTTGTCTGTCATCAATCGACAACCGTCACGGAAATGGCGAGATACGGAGCAAGCCTTCGAAATTCGATATATGTGATACATCTGAAAGTTAAATTGGAGGAATTGGTAAGATTTATGGTTATCAGTTCTGATAAGATCTGCCATGGTTTTAGCCTTATATATGACAATAGGAACAAGTCGGCCAGAACAGGGACACAGTTTGTTCCCCCGAGAAAACACATTAATTTTGTGATTGAGTGGCCCAGTCATCTGTGGACAAAGTCTTCACATTACGTTATTGAAGTTGTGAGGATGTACTACCATTTAAAAACAATATTGTGACAACCATATACTCCTCACCAATATCACGCATATCGTTGAGTTTTATTGTGTTTTTGGTTTAACGTCCTGGCATCAGCGAAGAAAACCAAGCGCATAGGGAGACAGAACCGATCGAAAGAGTAGCGAAGCGATAAAGAAAATATCTTGATCCAAGTTATTGCAATGGTGGCAGCAGTCAATTTCGGTTTCTTCCATGCCCCCTGAGCACACGACACCGACGAACACCCCGACTCTTGCAGCTGGCGCACATAAGCTACCTTGTACAAATTGCATTGGAATTAAGCAGGTCTATCCCCCCGAACCTACAGGATGAGTAAAGCTTTGAGTGTGGTTTGGATATTGGAGTCAAGAAAAACAGACTTGTGTTTCGGTCTTGTTTTGCTAGCTCTTTTTTGAATGATAGACCTAATATATTTAACCACCTCTGAAAGGTTATTCATTTAAGCAGGCACTCAGTTTGCCCATTACTTGCGCAGTTCTTTTCAAAAAATGTTTGTTCTATATAAACATTCAAATTGTTAGTAAAGAAGACACTTACTATGATCCATCCGGTCTATAGTGTGTGGTCTCGTAGAGCTAGACCATGTTTGAATGGGAGTTATCATATGCGTGAAAAATTCTCGCAATCACATTGGCCGGATTCTAAACACGTGACCAGTCCTCAAAAACTCACGTAGACTGGTTATCCGGTGAATATCAATTTCTAAACATAACCTATATGGAAATCCTCCGGAACATGTCGTAGCGCATGCGCAGTTAGACCGGAACGCGATATGTCAGACGAAAACTGAAGATGGCGGATGGCGAACTCTTCGCCTCTGTTACATCTGAAAATTTCCAAAATACTCGAAGATAAAGATGCTGGTAACATAAAAAGGGACACCGAGAGCAGTGCGGGTCCTCCATGCTTACCCTAAGGAAAAGAATCTTAACGATGTCTCCGAAAACCGAACTGTTGGATTCAACCCTGGCTAAATTTTATACGGAGGCTCGTTCAAGTAAATGTTAACTATACAAAATCTTATTGTTGGGGCATATAATAAAACAGATATGGGCTTTTGTGCTGGTAAAAATGATGTGCTATGAACCTGAAAAAGTGATATTGACCTCGGCTACGCCTCGGTCAATATCACTTTTTCAAGTTCATACCACATCATATTCACCAGCACAAAAGTCCATAATTGTATAATATTGCACGGTTATCTAAATTCAGCTTCTTCGTGTCACTCCAAGAAAACTTCACAACTCTTTTGCTGTCGCAAGATGTCGCTTGCTTCAATTGCTATAACATTTGCAGGGTCCGACGAAATTGATTCAGGCCCGATCACAAGTAATAAGAATGTCTGAATCTCTCCTGTACTGAAAGTACGTGCTTCTATATTCTACATGGTTGAAACGTTGTTTGGTTTTAGGTTTGTTTCACTTGTCTCCCCTTTACCGGTGGTACGTTTTCACTGCTTTACGTGTCCTTTGTCTTACACGATATAGAGTGCCCTGTCGCCTTTGTGATGTTTTACAATAGGTCCTTCCTCGTGTGACGGCAAAATGCGGATGGTATATTTTGCATACTTGTTTAAATGGTGAGTGATAATTTTTCACGTGTTTTTGTATTCATTTTCTTTTTTGTATTTAATGTTTTTGTTATTAATGTTCTTGTATTTACTGTTTTTGTTATTGATGTTCTTGTATTTACTGTTTTTGTATTTAATGTTTTTGTTATTAATGTTCTTGTAATTAATGTTTTTGTTATTAATGTTCTTGTATTTAATGTTTTTGTATTTAATGTTTTTGTTATTAATGTTTTTGTTAATAATGTTCTTGTATTTACTGTTTTTGTTATTAATGTTCTTGTATTTACTGTTTTTGTATTTAATGTTTTGTTATTAATGTTCTTGTATTTATTGTTTTTGTTATTAATGTTCTTGTATTTACTGTTTTTGTATTTAAGGTTTTTGTTATTAAAATGTTCTTGTATCAATATTCAACAAATGTACAAATAATCTTACATTTTTTCACAATATTTGTAAGACTCATGATCTATAATGACTTGTAGGATTTCATTGTTTTTACTGTACAAAAATACATTTACAACTTTTTACAAGGCGCGACAAGTAAGTTAAATACCACTTAAATATAAATGGTCTTTTCAGTCCCCCATACGTTTGTAGGACAGTCTTTTTATGAAGAAATGTTCTTTTTTCAGATTGATGAGTCACATTTAGTCCTGTTTTTTTCTCTGCGGCAGCTCAAGTGTAATATTGACTGGTTGTGAATTCGGACGTGGCTTTATTATAATCTCCAAAGAACAAGTAACAGCCAAGCGATTCGGTGGGGTTGTTGTTTCTCTGAAACCCATCAAACAGCTAACTAAGTTCCTTCTGTTTTGCCTTGACATATTCCAAGGGTGTAAAAGACGGAAATGGGGTAAGTCTGGAATTCCGAGGAAGGTTCATATACTATATGACTTTTTCTGCTTGAGGACCCAAAGTCATAGCTTTTGTTTTTTTTAAATGACTGTCATTATACATTGTTGTTTCTATTGCATCCTCCCGTGTTATTATTTGAAAAATGTCTTTGCTGAAGATGACCAACCAGTGAGAGATCCAGGATTTTTCTTTCTGTAAACAGCTTTGGCGACGGAAAGAAACAAGTCATTGACTCCCTGGTCATTGGTGGCGCTAACCTCTCTAAACTCATATCCCAGTTCATCCGCAAATTTCTGGAAAGAACGATGACATGAACATTATTTTTAAAACAATTCCAGCAATCAATCTGAATACCTCTTTGTAGTGCTTTTACCGAAAGTTAATCTGTATACATGCATGAATATATCTATTTCGTGATCGGGGCAGTGATAATGATACCGGGACCTTTGAATGGTTAAGGCGTAGTTGAGCCATCTGCTTCGATGTTGTAAAACTATATACTTTTTCCAAATTCATAATATAATAGAGTGTATGTACGAATATGTATTCAAAGAGAATAGAGCATATTTGTAAATATGTATTCAAACGCATTCTAAAACAAGTAAAAACCTAATTATCTTTACCTATTTCGAGAAATCAAACCCCTGCAAGAAAAGGTCAAGCGAAACACAATAGTGATGATAATAATTCGTTCTAATTCTACCTACCAAATCACCTACCTCTGACATGAGCATGCATATATCTCGCTATGCAGCAAACACGCTATTAAGATTTTAAAGTTTGACAAAATAGCCTTATATATTTCTAACCAAGTTGTAGAAGACATAATAGGAATGGGATAGGTGCTCTCACCTTTCCTTCATCAAATGTCACTTGACGTTCTTTCTCCATTTCAATTTTGTTTCCAATAACAAATTTGATTATATCTGGACTTTCGACCTTGGGGGTTATATGATTTCGTAGGTTTTGAAAGGAACTCTGTAACAGATAAAAAAAAACAATCAAAAAAATATCAATTTACATTTTTTTCACATTCACCGACGATTGCTGGCCACTAGATTGATCAAACCACTGTATACGCATTTTTTTATGTAGAATATTTATTTGGAATTATAATGATATAAATTACATGCATACAACCAATATTGACGATAGCTGATCATACGTCAGGTTATAATTGCCCTTACATACTTTCTTACCAATTCAGTCACATCATACACGATGCAGACCGCTCCAGCACTTCTCACATAAGCACCAGTTATGTTCCTAAATCTTTCCTGTCCAGCTGTATCCCACTAGACAAACACAAATCCAGCAGACCTAATGTTTTGATAGCCTATTTGACTGTAAATCGAACTTTATAAATAAAGTTTTGGGTTGTACCAAACCGTTTGTCCAGATATATTATGTGTTTGGCAACGATACATATTTTTATATTAGTTTTAAATGATAAAATATCATTTAAACCTTTAATCTTTTCTCGTTTACCTAAAGTTGAAATATTCAGTTTTATTCATTCAATTAAGATAATGTCTGAAAGGACAAAACAAGTCTGTCCACACTCAAACTTTAACAACCAATCAAAAATGACCTGTAGCCAAAACTAATATGTCATGTTCATATACGCAATTAAATAAACAATAATTAGTTTGGATGTCTTGCAAAATACTTTATTCGTGTACATTGACGATTTTCAAATAAAATTTATTATATATTTTGAGCTCTTACCTCATAATTTATCTGTGAAAAATTCATTTTTAATCTTTAAGACGTGAAAACATTTACACATTTAGGAAGAATGAATGGGGAAAGAAGTAGTCTGGTATACGATAAAAGGACAGAGTGACGATAATGAATTTGGGGACATGGTCTATACTTACGATCTGAAGTTTTACCTCCACCGAGTTCGGCAAAGAAATCGTCTTCGTTTTCTGCAGAATGAATATACAAAAGTAATATCTACTCCTGGTTGCTAAAAATAATGAAATCATGCTTTATTCGCATTGCTCTCACTAACCGTACACATGGTTTATAATGTACTTAGTATCCACAATCAGACGCTATGTATTATTTGATTAAGCAATTTTGAGATTTAACGTAACCTTTGTTAAATTCTCGGCAGCCATGTATCAAAATTAGCAGGAAGTAATTCTAGTGATCTTAGTCTACAACTAAATATATTACAAAAACCTAAGCTCATGAACAAAATTGGAGGAAAACTGACAATGCTTATACTATGTTAGCTTTTAAAGTTCACCACGTGAGCGTCAAGTTTCTAAAGCTCTGCATGGTTTAATGCTCAGGCCTATTTCCCGACTGCAGATAATACTAGTAGATGGCAACTAAAAATACTTAAGACTTTAACATTGGTGATTTAAATCCAATTTAAAGAGGTAAAATTGAAACAAAGCGCAATTGAAATGAATATGTACTTACGTAGTCCACCCCAATTGTCGCTATATAACTTTCCGAGAAGGAACGATCGTAACAAGAGAGAAAAGAACAACCGTGGTAAATATTCTATTATTTCTATTAACACAATCATCATAATTTTGTGGAATCCTCGCCAATTATAAAATTTTGATATTTTGTTACACTGTGATATTTAAAAAATGTCGAATAGAAAGTGTTGTCTGCAAGGTCAAAATAGCGATAAATCTCTCCATGGTTAATTTAATAAAATGCTCATTTAGAAAACTAATAAAATGCTCATTTAAAAAACTCAGCTTGAATGCTAACACTCAATCTGAGCTTTCTTTGCATGTATTGTATTTTGGAGTCAGTTTAATCCGGGTGTAACATATAGTTATCATCCGTTCAGAGTATTTCCTATCTATACATTATTTCAGTATGATTACTTCTAGGCCAAATGGTTAAATTACAACAAAGTTGAAGTTCATGAAATGCATCGACAGAAATTTCATGTATGTTTACACCTTACGTCAGCAGTGTGTTTTAGAGAAATTATAGTCCCGAACGTCAACAGTGTTTTTTTCTGCAAAGTCAGATTTTGAAGGAAAATAGGAGAAACAACTTTGAAAGTTTTGATAGATCATCGACGGCTGTATGGTATTCGTACTTCAGACTTGATTACGAGTACACGTAAACAAAACGGTTGTACGAATACTTCCTTGTGCCATGATGGTAGTTTACTTGAAATCCGTCCTATGTCAGAATACCGTTACGGTGATTTTTTTGTCTCTTCGCTTCGTCTTGCTCGTTTGGTCTATATCGAGTACGTGTGTGTAGCTGACTAACAAGTACTTGCCTGGTATCGTGTATGACCAAATAATCAATAATGAACTGATCGTTAGTGTACTCGACTAGAAATACCATCAAACCGTGTTCAACAGAGGGTAACCTATTGAAAAAGTCAGTTTCACGTGTTGATTTCTAGAATAGGGAGATCAACCACAGTAGTGTGAGGGAGGTTGTACATAAATAACGTCCTAATATATATGGCCATGATTTACCTTGGGCGATGTATTTATATATTTAAAAATCCAAACTCATCAGACTTAGTCCTTGTATAAAAATATTCACACACACATACACTTGATTTATTTTCTATACGCTGGTTTTTTTAAATTTGGATGTTTTAGTTCAAAGTGTATGCATATTAAAACAACGATAGTTCGTTTGATAATATTATATTAATCCACAGTAAATTTGATTAGAAAGATACATAGGTCAGACACTCTTCCTGAAATGTTTTACAGAATAACCACACTTGACATGGTTTCCGGCAGGCTAAGTCGTAAAATGTGTATAGTTTTCGTACTAATCCTATTCATGTTATTTATCAGTATAATCCATAATCGATGTCTACAAACCAATTACGTCATTTTCCTGTCAACATCGTAATAAAAATATGAAATGCAATATTATAAAACCATTTGGGGAAAACTTATAGGTGTACTCAAAAATAAACAAATAAAAATTGTACAAAAATATCGTTATTTTGCTGTCTTTAACCGGAGTTTGTAAGCTCATATTGCGTATCGAAACGCTCTGCTGGTGTTAAATGAATAAATCTTAAGGTTTAATAGTGAAAACATGAACGAGCACGCACTACCTATATTATTTTAACCCTACATACATCATATTCACTGTTATTTTTATTGTGTATTTTAATTCCGTGATATACCCGACAAAATTTAAATCTCACCGTCTATCACATGACGTTGTATTTATTTCCATGGATTTTTTTTTTCATCGTTGCATTCAAAACACCCATGCTTTTTTCCCATTTTTATTTAAAGTAATAGGAGTGTATTGATAAAGGAAATAGGAAGTACATCCTTAGTTGAAAATCCAATGTAGGGAGACAGTATCACAATTTCCGCATATTCTAATGTTTAATATTAAACTTATGCTTAAACTTAAACTTAAACTTGTATATTTATTATTGACAGAACAGTGTGCTCTATCAATATAAAGGAATTTCAAAGGAATCCAGGCATTAATTCAGGTGTTTTTGTTATCAATGAGTCAAATGTGTCCATTTTTCTGTACTTAAGGAAACCGGCTACCTATTTCACTACTGGGAAGTTTTTCAAGAACGAGCACTCTTACATGCAATTACTATGTGTATATGGTTTTATTATAAAATGTCAATTTGTAATCGTTATAGATAATTAATTTAACACAATTTCAGCATTTATTAAATTGATATACATTAATGCAATACCAATCTATGTCAGTATCATTTTTATTGACATTATTTTGCAAAAGATTGTGTTTTTCATTTCTTTTTCAAAATTCACTCCTTTTTACCTTAATTTCGATTTAAAATCCTTAAAATTCTGACAACCTACATTTTTTTGGTGGCAGAAGTTTTTCTTCACTTCAAATCGGTATAACTACAAAATTTGAAGAAATTCTATTGAGAAATGGTCACTCAATCCCATTACCTTAAGGAACATTCTCAATTCGCCCATCCTCGATATCCAGGGGTTACGCTCACTTTCGTTCTCTACATCCCTGGAGTATGTTATAGCAAAAGTGAAGGCTCGGTGTGCAGCATCTTCGTGACGATACGAGAAGACTAGTTTGATCAGTTGATGTACGTCAAAAGAATCTCGCAGTCGCGCAACGGTAAAACTTAATGGCTTTGAAGTCGGACGTCGCTCCTCTGTAGTCTTCTAAGGACAAGTATCAGCCTAGTGATTGGTCAGATCTTTTTTCCCTGACACCAATGAAATAGCTAGCCGCGTGCCTTCAATTTTGCTAAGACTAATTATTAATTTGAAATTACCCAGTACTGCTCGAAAATCTTTGACTTTTGTATCATTAAGGGGTTTTATTATGAGAATACCCATTTTTTTAACAGCTGATTAGACCAATTTGGATTTCAACCTTTTTGCCCATGGCATCAACACTGAATCAAAGAAAGACGAAACAGATGTATGGCGCAGTGTTATTATTTTTTAAATACTGTATCTACTACCAAATGTTTGGAGGTTCAATTACATGTGCATATATTACGTTCATCATAAACACTTCCTTATGTAATCATCTTTAATCGTCCACAACAATCGCTACAGTGAACCACCGAATTGTACATCAACTCGATTTGCCTTATTTGTTCCCGAACAAAAGTTAGAAAGCATAGTCCAAATGCTTGCAGACAAATTGACAAGGTGCTTATTACGACAGAGACATTGATATAGCATCTTTAATCCCTTCGCTGAATGATCAAGACCAATCCAAACCATTTTTGTAACATGCTGTTTCATTGGACCACAGGAGCACGCAACTACTATTAATACTGATAGTGGATATAACGTACCCAGCGACTAAAAGTCTAATAAGATCAATATTAATAGTTGTTGCGTGCACATGTGATTGGATGGCATGGGTTACGATCCTGTGACATGTATGACGTCAATATCATCACCTCCAGTGGACGTTGTCACCGTCCTAACAAACTAGGTTGAAGTGTCCAATAAGCAACCTATATTCCAGATGAAAAGTGAACGTATAGCCAAAATAGCTGCTTCAGTCCGGGTACGTTCTTATTTTTATTATTTCTTCTGTTATTTTTTTTTGAAAAATGACGTTGCTGAAGATGACCAACCGGTGAGAGATCCAGGATTTTTCTTTCTGTAAGCAGCTTTAGCGGCGGAAAGAAACAAGTCATTTACGCCCTGGCCATTGGCGGCGCTCACTTCTCTAAACTCATATCCCTTTTCATCAGCAAATTTCTGTAAAATAAGGATATCATTAACATATAGTCAACCTACTTCGTGAAATCAATTTGAATATGTATTTAAGTGCATCGCCTGCATTAGAACACTCCCGTCTAATCTTTTTATTGAAAAATTATCTTTAAGCATGCTTGACAAATTAAAATAAAAAGTATATATAAAGAAGGTAGGTATATCAAAAAGATAACGACTGACTTAAAAAGTAGCAGGTTCATGTATCACCCTTCATATGGGTTTTTTCAATTTAATTTCTTAAATTAACTTCTTGAAGTTATTTCTTATCTTTCCCATGGATGATTACAAATATGTTTTCCATGTTACAATTTTAAGACTGTTACATAAAAACAAAGTAATAAGGATGTCATTCGGGTATTTAGAAACACTATCAGAAAAACGGATATATGCATACAATGATTTACAACTATCTTCCTTTCCTCAGCCAACATAAATGTTAGTGTACATAGGTGTATGCCCATCTACATTACAATCATCTCTGCATACATTCATAAATACCTATCGTCCTTTCATCCATACCCACACACATTGATGTAAATATGTCTACCTTTCGTTTATATGTAAATTCACTGGTGTATATCTCCCTACCTTTCCTTCATCAAATGTCACCTGTCGTTCTTCTTCCATATCACTTTTGTTTCCAACAATAAATTTGACTATATCTGGACTCTGCACTTCGGGGTTGATGAGCTCTCGCATGTTTTCAAATGAACTCTATAACAAAAAAATATACGAAACCAGTTAGAATAAAACCGTGATATGTTAACGTTAAGTTGATGTTTGTTAAAAGTTAAATCACAGGCATTTGTTTCTGTCAATGCACCCTATTACACAATTACACCCTACTCATATTAAATAAAAATGATCTTTTGACAGTAACAAATGCCTATGAGTTAAATCATTGTTGCACACGGCCATAATTCGTGATTGTAATCATGGAAAGTAGAAGCGTATAAATAATATCTTTACTGTTAACTGGTCGTACCAAATTAGTCCACAATTCCTTTTTAAAATGATAATGTCTTACCGGTTTGGTGATATCATACAGGGCACAGATGACGTCAGCGCCTCTGATATAAGCCTTACTTATATTTCTGAACCTCTCCTGTCCTGCTGTATCCCACTAGATAAACAAAAATCAGGGTTGATTGGTATTTAGCCTTGTTCAACCTTACTTCTTGATCCAAAATGTCTTGCATGACAAATCTAAAAAGGAGGAAGTAGATATACCACTTTCTCTCATTTCCCTATGTGTAAGATAGAGCTGTCCATGGTAAGAATGGGTGTAGGAAACTATCTCACACCCAATTTCACGTGACGTGACGTCACAATGGCTCAACAATGACGTACCGTCACGAATTTTGGACCTCTCCGATGCCGCAATGCGGAAAAGGCGACGTGATGAAATTAAAACCTTTTACGATTGTTTACCGTACACGTTAGAAAGATATGATTTATTTATCTGCGCAAACATTGTTGTCAAGTTTTGGATATACTTAATCTGGCTGGCTGATTCGTTTTCGTCTAAAAATCTCAGGGGGATACTATCGATATTTTCAAAATGGTTGCCAGTCCAAACGCATTTAAAACCCGAGGCAAAGGTGTTTACGAAATTTGAAAAATCCTCGGGAGAAATTTCCTTATCTTACACACCTGGGTATGAAAGAGTCTTATAATCTAGATTAGAAAGTCATTTTGAGAATGTAAATAAAATCGCAAGCATAGCTGAAGGACGCGTAAATGGAAAACAAAATAAACTCAACGAGCTAGAAAAAGTTTAACGTTTTCATGATAGGAATGTGTTAATTATAGAGGAAGAAACCATTGCATGTACAGTGAAACTGCAAGAGAACAAATCCCGAGGTCTTGATTATGTATCCAACAATAAGATAAAATAAGGACAAATATACTTACTAAGTTGTAGTATCCACGCATTATATAATGCTATCTTATCCTTTGGGAACTACCCTGTAACGGCGCTTATGGATATATAACCCCGATTAATAAAGTAGGTAGTGAATAGAAACCAAACAATTATAGAGGAATTACAGTTGCTAGTGCGTTGGGTAAACTTTTCAACTCAGTTCTTAACACAAGATTGGATACTTTTTTCCCAACCACATTATTGCTGATTGTCAAATCGGTTTCATGAAAAAAGCTCGCACTGCGGACCATATGTTTATTTTGAAAACTATTGTTGACAAATGTTCTCACTTAAAAGAACGCAGATTGTATGCATGTTCTGTCGATTTAAAAAAAAAACATTTGACACTGTAATGCATACAGGGTTGCGATTGCAACTGTTAAACATTGTCTTGAAAAGAAGTTCTACAACATCATTAAAAATAGATATTGTAGAGGTCAAGCAGGTTTAAAAACATAATAGTATCACTAAATATTTTGGTTGTGAAGCTGGTGTGAGGCAATGTGACAATCTCAGCCTAAATTTATTCAATACATGCATGTGTATCAATGACCTACCGCAATATTCAAATTCATGTATGGATTCTGTCTTAAGGAAGATAGCCTTGTACTAAGATGATGTCATTTTGTTATTACACTCTTCTTCAGTGTTACAACAAATGCTGGATTCATTAAACAAATGAAGTAATTACTGGGGTATGTCTGCCAACATTTACAAGACAAAGGTCTTAATTTTTAAACGAAGCAGAAATAGACATAGCAAACCAGAACGTGTCAAAGAGTATACATACTTGAGCAGTTACTACACAAAGTCAAGATGAATTGTATAAAAAGTCTCCATAAGCTTATTTTAAACAGCGGGAGGATTTCTTAAGTTTCAACTCGACTGTTAAAACAAATCTTCATGTTTTGACCATACTGTTAACCCTTTCCTTTTATATGGCTGCAAACTTTGGGGAGCTTTCAAGTCATTTTCAACCAAAGCCAAAAATGACACCACAACCTTAAGCTTGTACTTAATGTTCTCTCATATGAGATGCAACACTCTTATATGATCTCAAATGTCGTGAATGGATTCTGGGGATTTATAAAAAAGAAAGAAAGAAGAGTTGCGTATGCAGTAGTCCTATCAGAATTGGGCAGGTTCCAATTACATGTTGACATACTACAATGGTAGGGGAGATTTATACTTACGATTTGAAGCTTGATATTGGCCATGTTCGGCAACGACATTGTTTTCACTTTCTGAAAAATAAACATTCATGTTATAAGTAAATTTCCTATATTTGTCATAAATTATATAATCATATTTCATGTGCTGTACATTTATTTGACATTGTTTAACCAGGCACAAATGCAGTTATACTAATATTATATTCAGTCAGCAACAAGGGGGAAATGTGAAACTAAGGCAAATGTTGATGTTTGTGCAACGAATCCAGGAAATATTTGTTTGAATTCGGGTAGAGGAAATGTGAACGGAGTGAGTATGTATGAGTCTTTAAGGTAAAGGGTACCACTGAATCAGTTTTAATCCCAAAAGACGAGTTACTCAGAGGTTTTCTTTTTTATTATTTTATCTTCTGCATTGAAGATGAAGCAACAATAATGTTTTTGTTTTTCTGGCTTATAGTAACTTCCCATGTCAACTTTTCTTACGCTTTGTGGCCAATACATTAAACACTTATTTTGAGGCTGTGCTTTTACAATTTCTAAATTGCAGTATTGGTAAAATGTACGCTTTGTAATGGTAATGATCCCGAGATGGATACCTGCAGTCCCCCCGCCCCCCTTATAGTTTCAAAACATTCAAATTTTCATTGTAAAATGCATGGCTAAATATGTATTTTTATGGAATGTTTCTTTTGAAAATGACTTGATGAAATATTTCACAATAGTTACAAATATTAGTGATTTAGTGTAACTTGTACGGGCACTTTATCTGAAACCAGTTGAAATGTGAAACTTAATCAGGAGAAGGAGATATTTGAGAAAGAGCGGGGAAATATGTGTGACGACCTCTCGAAATTTGTAAACTAAGCTAGGAGGTATGGTACAACGCCAACGGTATGTGAAACTAAGACAACAGTATGTGAAACCAAATCATAATATGTGATACTATAGCAACAGTATGTGAAACTAAGCTAATTATTTTGTTAAACTAACCCAATGCATGTTAAAATAGGACCAGTATGCATGAAGCTATCCCACAGTATTTGAGTCTAATAGAATAGCATATGAAACAAACAACGGCATGTGAAGCAAACAAAGGAATGTGAAACAAACAACGTCATGTGAAGCAAACAACAGAATGTGCAACAAACAACGTCAACAGAATGTGAAACAAACAACGGCATGTGAAGCAAACAACAGAATGTGCAACAAAAAACGTCAACAGAATGTGAAACAAACAACGGCATGTGAAGCAAACAACGACATGTGAAACAAACAGAAGATTGTGAAACAAACTACAAAATGTGAAGCAAACAACGGCATTTCAAGCAAACTACAGAATTTGAAACCAAGACAAATTTATGTGAAATTATGGCAGGTGATGCATGAAGGTAAATCAGGATATGTAAAGCTAAATAGGGAAACAAATATGTCTTATATGATTCCAATTAATATATCAAACTAGGTTTGTGAAATTTAGCAATTTGCTATTGAAATAGAATTTCTAAAGTTGAATAATTGTTGATTAAAACGATTCAAGTAAAGTAATAATGTACTTACGAAGTCCATTTCAATCGTTGGAATATGGTTTAATGTGAAAGTTTCACCCTGATTAAGAACGAATAAAATAGAGATAATTAGATTTTCTGTTGATATATATGTATTACATATATAATAATTATTGATTTGATGTATAATTGTTATTTATAATTCAAAGTATTGGTACAACGGCACACTATATTTCATAAAATCCCGATATGTAAGGAATACTATCCGATTTATGATACGAAATCCCTCCAAGATAGGAAGCACGGTAGTCTAGTGGTAGGACGACGGGCTCTTTACCGAAGGGTGGCGGGTTCGAGTCACGGCACGGCACTGTGTTGTATCTTTGAGCAAGACTTTTTACTCCGCTTGTTCCAGTCTACTCAGCTGTAAATGAGTACGTGGTTGGGCAGTGCTAGAATTGTAGAATGCTAGCTGTGAGCGCCGAAATGGCAACACCGGCTGTATGCAGTTCAGAAAGATATTGGCTGGTTGCAAAGGCCCTATAACCACGGATAATAATTTGTGAACCGCTTTGAGACGACCTACGAACTATGTTGTGATAAAGCGGTATATAAGAACCTCGAACTATTATCATTATTTTTATTATTATTTAACTTATTCAAATTGTTCTCCCATAAGATACTCAAATACGAATCTACGCATCTTAACGCTAGTTGAGTTTATAGACATATATTAGTTTGGATGGGATAAAAACTAGAATGGAATGAAAAGTAGAACTCCTTGCTAATCTGTTTTTTAATCTTTTTTTTTATATATATTTCCTTTTTCCTTGAAACAGTTTCTAAGCCATATGTGTCATGTTCCTGAACTTCTTGATAAAATACAGAGACACGAGCTGTTTGTACACAACATTAGTGTTAAAAAGAGCAATTAAAATGGTGAGCATCTGCATTGTTTGGTCTGAAAATGTAGCGGAAACTTTTGTTTTCTCCCTTTTTCTTCCCAAATGAATTTTAACCAAAAACATAATTTGATATGTAGGGAGGTATATGTAACCACTGTATACTAAATAAGATAAAATGTTCATGTGAAGTAGGTCAGTTTAGAAAAAGATAGATACAAAACTTGCAGCTTTCATCCTTCACAGGGCTTTTCGGGTTTATTTTAAAAGGACAACATCGTGACGTTACAATTACATGACATCACGCTACAATAGTAACGTGACGTCACATTGTACACTATATATTGTATACTTACTGTGAATCTAAGCAACAGACATGTTTTCCCTACTGCTTCGTCTCCGAATAACAACATCTTGCCCATAGTTATTTTTGGTTGAACAGTGGATCTATTAAAGAACCTGCAAGTTAATTCTTTACATTGATTAATTAGCATAATCGAACGTTTCGTCAGGAATCGTTTTATGACTGATCATGAAACAATCTAAGACTTAAGATTTTGCTAAACCAATCACGTATGACGTCACCTTTCATGACGTTTTTTGTGATTGGCTAAGTCAGAACTTACAGTTTACTACAATTATTTTCTGGATTGCCACGAACTCCAACATTTATGAAATGTGACTGTTGCATCCAGAGAGACATTATTGATCATTGCTAGGGTTCTCTCCTGTAGTCACAGGGACATGCAAATTTGTCAGAGTAGGCATGTTTGGACCGAAACAGACGGTGTTTAGAGTAATATTGTAGCTAGGTTTTATGTCTGGATCAACACTTGGTAAAAATAGCCCCCTCCCCATCAGTCGGTGTTAATCAAAACTTAAAACGTCTAAATGTTTCTCTGCACACATCTATTTAGGTCAAACTATCCTTACTCTAATGAATGTCCAGGTCCCTGTGCTTCTACTGGCTTAGTTAACCCTGTCTGTAATGGATAAAATGATTTTCTTCACTTTTTATTACAACTACTTACATTTTGTGAATATTCTACTGACGTATTGTACCAACCTGTTTGGAGATTGTTCCGCCCCTTTTTATATGGAATGTAGATAATATTTACTTGGACTCCTTATAAGACCGAATAACAATGCACAGGGGCTCGTAACTAATATATATAAATATATACGAACACGCATACAGCATTAGGTGTGTTCGTGTGTATTTTAAGATAGCTGTTACAAGTCCCTGGGGAATTACTAGGTAATCCAGGCAATGTACATCAAACAACGACTAGAGGTTTGGTCAAACACAGTATATGTTATTTATAGATATTACACTGTGAACTCTATAAATAGCAAAGTGTTAACCGTACTCGAGTTAGTGTAATGGTCCATAATAGAACGCCAAAGAGGTTGAAAACAGAAGCCCGAATGCAACGAAATGTTCAACGACAAACAGATACGTGATATATACCTTGTCTACATATCCTCGGGCATAACACAACAGACGTCTAAATATTCATAATTCAGACTTAATTACGAGTACACACAAACAAAACGGTTGTACGAATACTTACTCTTGTGCCATGATGGTAGTTTACGTGAAATCCGTCCTATGTCAAAATAACGTTACGTTGAAATGTTTTCTCTCTTCGTCATGCTCGTTTGGTCTATACCGAGTACGTGTGTGTAGCCGACTGACAAGTACTTGCCTGGTATCGTGTATGATCAAATAATCAATAATGAACTGATCGATAGTGTAGTCGACTAGAAATACCATCAAACCGTGTTCAGCAGAGAGTAACCTGCTGAAAAAGTCAGTTTCATGTGTTGATTTCTAGAATAGGAAGATCAACCACAGTAGTGTGAGGGAGGTTGTACATAAATAACGTCCTAATATCTATGGTCATGATTCACCTTAGACGATGTATTTATAGATTTAAAAAGCCAAACAAATCAGACTTGGTCTTCGTATAGAGACATTCACATACACACATGCTCTAGGTTGATTTTCTATACGTTGGATATTTAAATTGGGTTGTTCTAGTTCATCGTTTGTGTGTTGTGGACGATCAGTATGTGTTTATGATGTGTATTTGACCTTTATTATCTCCCCTTATTACTATGATCAGCTAATTTGATTTACTATGTATAAAGTCTTTTAACAGGAACGGTTTGCAATCATTGAGACTGGCGGTCAGTATAGCTTAAACCACGGGGACTTGACAATGTGTTACAGCTATATTTGGACATACCACTAAAACGTGAATAATCTCTCTAAACATCTTAGTTTAGGTCCAGATATTACTGTGACAAATTCTCAGACCACTATGGCTTAAACCACTTAACACGAAATATCTAACTATTACATGATGGGAACTATTACATTGTGTTTATCTCAACAAAGCTGTCATATAGCTTCCATTTTATACGTATTCCGTCTTTGCGTATTGTAGAGTTATCTTCTCTTGGGAGCAGGTATTGATTGTTACGTCACTTGTTTGTGAGAGTAACGTAATCAATTTTTGAGAAAACGACATAATTTTCTCGCACAAACCAATGACGTAACAATCAATACCTTCTCCCAAGAGAAGATAACTCTGCAATACGCAAAGACGGAATTGGCTTTTTAAGCCGTCTTCATTATGGGGGTTTTCTGAACACATAGGCTACTAAAGAATTAGATGACGTTTAACAGGGGGTCCCAACGTCATCACAAGACCCCATTCTTATTCCTTTTTACTGTAATATTAAAATGCGTTTTCTTTTGTGTTTTCGAGTCTTGCAAAATAATGAAACGTGTAATGTCTACTTTCAAACAAAAGTGATTGTTTTGAATATTAATTAAAAATCAAGCGTTTAGACTTCAATTGAAATTTTGATATTTTTTTCACTTTGGGATATATGTGCCCATGTATTATCCTTAATCTACAAAACAATCATATGAAAATATCTATAATTCATGTTATAATATTATATTCATCTACAATCAATTTGATTAGAAAGATATTTGTGTCAAACACTCTTCCTGAAATGTTAAAAGAATAACCACAATTGTTGTGGTTTACGACGTAAAATGTGTGTAGTTTTCGTACTATATACATTTCGATTATGTATCAGTATAATCCATAATTGATGTTGAAGTGCCATTATAAAATCATTTGAGAAAAACGTACAGGTGTATTTAGAAATAAACAAATATATATCGTTATAAGCTCACATTGTTTATCGATACGCAACGCTGGTGTTTAATGAATAAATCCTTAATCGCCTTTACATATATCGCATGTACCGACATGACACGCAGATACCTGTGAACGGGGGCCTGCTCGTTTATGCGGAACGACCGGTTCGTCTGTTTTTTAATGTAAAATGTTCAGGTATATATCCTGGCTGACATGAAAAAGTGTATGCAAGCCTTGCAAGGCTCGCCTCAAATGAGGCGGAATAACTCTGGTTCAGCCGCGTTTGAATCGCGATTTAAACGAATGAGGCCCTGGTCTTAAATATTGGGAGAACATAGCATGCACTACCTATATTATTTGAACTCAACATACATTATATACGCTGTTATATTTATAGTGCATTTTAGTTCCGAGATATACCCGACATAATATAAATCTGATCGGCTATCACATCGCGGTTGATATATAAGCATGTTTTTTCATCATCTGTGCATTCAGAACATCCAGGATTTTTTATCATGTTTTCTCGTTTTTTTAGGAAGATTCTCAGTTCGCCCAATACAGATATTCATATAATTGTACGGGCTTGATTTCATCAAGTTTCACCCAAAGCGCTATGAATATTCATCCTTCAAGACTGCTGATTCCATTTTATTTTTTTTATACAAACATTGAAAATATTAATCGATGCAAAATAATACCAAATGCGCTCTTCTCCTTCGTGGTTTTGAGATGGTTCGGGATGAATTATTTGACTAAGAAGTTTGCCGTTCTTTTGAATTGACACTGTAACGAGGACTGTTCTGTATACAATATCCCAGATTGTAAAATCTTTACTTTGATATTTACAGGTCAATAAAATCTGAAACCAAATACTTCAATACTGATCAATTGATTATAAGGTCATGGCCGTCTCTTGTAAGGAAGAAATCGCAATATTTCGGAATGTATAATGATTCCAATTATAAAACATGGGTACTGGGAATTCAAACAATTTTAACCGTAACAAGACTGACAAAAAAAGGCCCCTACTGGTACAAATCCGTTAATAATCCATTCAGCGTTCACATCCATCCTTATGTTCCCCCTAACTTAGTTTTTCTGACACCAGACGTATTTCAGATGTTCTCTCGAAAACTGGTGAGGTTTGCGCAACTATCCGTCTCACTATGACACTAAGTGTTATGGCTAGATACATATCGGACGGTAGAAGTCGGCGACCATATTTGATGTTCGATTAAAAAGAGAAAGATGGTTTATCCCGAGACATATAAAGCCATATAGGTCTCTGGTTTATCAATAATCGTGCGAAAATTCTTAAGTGTCTGATAAGTAGATGGCAGAACAAAATCAACGTTTTCGCAAGATAGCTGCCGTAGATTGGTCATGATCAAGACAATTACGATTTCAACTAGAGTTCTACAGGATCAACTTTGTTCAAAAATTGTGTAAGTCACTGAAATACAGATTTTTAACTTCGGGATTGAAGTCAGCCACCGTGATCACCTCTGATTTGTCAGAGATAATTATCGTTATACCTCGAACCCTATTGGACCGACTCTGCTCGTACTCGGTTGGATCAATCACGGACTTAGATAAATCAAAATCCGTGGATCAATCTAGTATATGGTGTATGTCAAATATGAGATGGTTTGGCTTCTGCTTGGCGGCTATATTTATAAATAAAGTAAATTCTGAAGTACTCAAATTGTAGCATGTTTTTGGGTTTTTAAAATTGGCACAAAGTTACTTTGGAGAGGGGACACATGCTGTATAGATTAAACGTTTAATGGATTATGTACATATGAAGTTGTAAATGTCTTAGCCAATCAGAATCACAGGCCAGGCTGGCCATCTGGAATTTTACAATCAGCATGAAAAGTAACAAACCTCACAAGGAGTCAAAAACATCTCGGTCAATGATAGGTCAGGGTGACCATCTTGGATTTTCTGATCGGCACAAAAAGTAAGAACACTTGTTTGGAACCTCACAACGAATATTTGTACAAATAAAGAAGCGAATTGCTGCTGACAATATTGAGAAGTTGAAAATTACTGGTCTCAGCAAAACAGAGGGCATCTTGTATTCTCAGATTGGCAGTAACTCTGCCAGTAACTGTCTGATAGGGCCCATTTGCAACTTGTCCGATATCTCATTGATACAAAGCAGCATAGCAAAATTCATCAAAATCCATTCACATTTACTGAAGTAATTGCGCTCACAAGCCCAAGTCGCATAGGTTCCAATAGTAATTAAAATGTCCAAGTTCCATAACTCTGCTAGTTATTGTCTCATTGGGACCACTTTCGAACACGTAGGAGATCTTATTGATATAAAGCAGCATAGCAAAATTTATCGAAATCCATTCACTTTTACTCAAGTTATCGTGCTCACAAGATAAAAGTTAACACACAACGACAGACGAAGACGAATGGTCAGGTGATCTAAAACTGTGTGTTTGATCATCAGAATCCTTTGTGGCCATCTTGTATTATTTCATTGGCTAAAAAATGAATAATGCAACCAAGAGTTTAGTGGGTTTCTTTGCAATAGCACTTTTATTACATACATTTATTAAAAATATGTTTCTGATAAATTTCATATATAAGGGGAGAGAGAAAATTATCAATTCTCTTGTTCATTATCATACAATAAATAATCAGCATGCTCCTTTGTTCAATTCTAATACCACATGGTGAATACCTCTCAAGTGTCACTTCTCTGTAATCTTCATAGGACAGATGTAAACCTAGCGATTGGTCAGGGTTTTTTTATCTACCTTTTTTCCCTTCCATGTGCCTTTGATTTCATCATATTCCAGAGGTGCAGAGAAAGAAGGTGAACGTAAGGGTGGCCCCTGGAATTCGGAAGATAATGCTCTACATAACATTTTTTTGTGGGAAAAAGTGATGTTTGAAAATATTAGTCTTTCATTGTGACTCAAAAAATTGTTAAATCGTTGAGTTATAATGTTATTCAAACAATATACCAATCTAAACACATACCTCCCACTAATTCTGAGTCTGGAGAAGAAGATTTTTGAAATATTGGTTAATTTTCNTAAAGGGCAATTAAAACGGTGAGCATCTGCATTGTTTGGTCTGAAAATGTAGCGGAAAACTTTTGTTTTCTCCCTTTTTCTTCCCAAATGAATTTTAACCAAAAACATAATTTGATATGTAGGGAGGTATATGTAACCACTGTATACTAAATCAGATAAAATGTTCATGTGAAGTAGGTCAGTCTAGAAAAAGATAGTTACAAAACTTGCAGCTTTCATCCTTCACAGGGCTTTTCGGGTTTA